AAACTTTCCCTGCATTATTGTCTTTTCCAGAGACTCGTGCCTTCTCCTGATGTGCTCAAAGTATGAAAGCCTCAGTTTTGTCATTTTTGCCTCCAGAGAAAGTTCAGGCTTGATTTGTTCTAGGACCCACTTGTTGGGTTTTTTTTCTGGGCAATCTAGGGTACATGCAAAGCTCTCCTCTAGCACCATGTTTTTAAATAATCCATTTGTTTCTTGTCAACTTTCTTTACTGTTCAACTTTCACACCCATACATAGTAATCAGAAATACAACAGTGGATGATCTGGATCTTGGTCTCCCATGAAACATCTTCACACTTGATCTTTCTTAGTTCTTTCATTGTTGCCCTTCCTAGCCCCAGTCTTCTGATTTCTTGGCAGCAATCTCCATTTGGATTGATGATTAAGCCAAGGTACACAAAATCTTTCACTATTTCAATTTCTTCATTCAACATTAAAGCTGTTTAGTTCTTCTGTAGTCATGATTTTCATCTTAAGTTTCAACTGCAGTCCTGCTTTGGCATTTTCATCTTTTACTTTCACTAAAAGTTGTTTCAAGTCATTGGTTCTCTCTTCCAGTAAGATGGTGTTGTCTGCATATTTTAAATTATTGATGTTTTCCCCACCAATTTTCACTCCTCAGTCTAACCCAGTTTTATGTATGATATGTTCTCTGTACAAATTGAATAGATAAGGGGATAGAGTGCACCCTTGTCTGACACCTTTGTCTACAGGAAACCACCCTTACTCTTCATTTTCTGTCCTAACAGTAGATTCTCGTCTGGTGTACAAGTTACGCATCAGAACAATCAAGTAATGAGGCACACCCATTTCTGGAACAATGTCCTAATGGTAGCTTCTTGTCCACAACAGGTATTGAGGCACACCCATTTATTTCAGAAAACCCATAGTTTCACATGATCCGCATAGTAAAATGCTTTGCTGGATTCTATAAGGCATAAACTGATCTTCTTCTGAAATTCTTAGGTGAGCTCTAGTAGCCAGTGGATATTAGCTACATGATCTTGAATGCCTGTTCTTTTTCAAAAACCAGCTTGAACATCAGGCACTTCTCACTCAATATATGGTAAGGTAAAAACCTTTGTTGTAAAACTTTGAGCCTAATTTTACTTGCATGGGAAATTAAAGCAGTGGTCTTATAATTGCTGCACTCCTTGACATCTCCTTTTTTGGGAATTGTACAATACATATTGAATGTCTCCAGTCTGTGGGCAATTGTTTTGTTTTTCATATTTGTTGGCATATTCTTGTCAATATCTGTGTCTAGAAATAGTTCTATTGGTACCCCCATCTAACCTTGGTGATTTATTTCCTCCCAGTGCTTTCAGGGCAACTTTCACTTCACTTTCTAGAACCACAGGTTCTTCATCATAGGTTTCTTCTTCAAGGGAGTTTGTCATCCTTTTATCTCTTCTGTATACATCTTTGATATAGTGTTTCCATCTTCTCTTTATCTTCTCCTACTCACATAGTATACTTCCCTTGTGTTCTTTCTGCATTCATAATCTTAAACTTCCCTTTGATTTCTCAGATATACTGGAAGAGGTCTCTTGTTTTTCCCTTTTGTTGTTCTCCTCTATTTCCTTGCACTGGGTATTGTAATAGTTCTCTTTGTCTCTACATGACAGTTGCTGAAAGGTTGCATTTGGGGTTCTGACCTTATTTCTATCACTTTTTATTTTTGCTTCTTGACTGTCCCTTACAATTTTAAGTATTTCTTCTGTCAACCATCTAGCTTTTTCTTTTCTTTTCACTACAGGAATGGGTTTTTGCATTCGTGCCTAATGATATCTCTGGTGATGATATTCAATCCACAATTCTTTTGGTTCATTGTCAATTGAGTTTAGTAATGCAAATCTGTTATTTATGTGGACTTTGTATTAATCAGGAATGTTGCTTAAATTATATTTTGGCACTATGATTCTTTTAGTGTTCTTTTTAGCTCTTCTCTAAATGTTGGATATTAACAGTTCATAATCAGTGCCACAATCTACTCCGGGTCTTGTTTTGGCAGAGAGAATATAACTTCTTCATCTCTTACTTTCAATTACATAGTCTGTTTGACTTTTATATTGTCCATCTAGTAATCTCTATGTGTACACTCATCTGTTTGATTGTTTGAAGCTTGTATTTGCAATAAACAGTTTGTGGGCTTCTCAGAACTCCTGCTTAGTTTGCATAGAATCAGAGAGTAATTGAGTTGGAAGGGCCTATAAGGTCATTGCATCCAATCCCCTACTCAGTGCAGGAGTTGAACTCAAAGTTTCTGTCCCCTAGGCAAATGTTTTCTGACAACATTTGATTCTACTTTGTTTCCTACTTTTGCATTCCAGTCCCCTATGATTATAAGCAAGTTCTGTTTTTGTGTGTGATTAGTTTCCTCTTGGATGCTTGCTTAAAAGCTTTCAATTTCCTCTTCTTCAGCATCTGTAGCTGAATCATACGTAGATGTGAATAATGATTATGTTGATAGGTTTTCCATGGAGTCTGGCTCATAGTATTTTTCTCAGACCTTGTATTAGAGCCCATGATTGCCTGTGTTACATATTGTCTCAATATTAGAGCCACTCCATTTCTTCTGAGTTTGTCATTTCCAAAGTACAATACTTTGAAGCTGAAAATATCTTGCTCCAGTCCACTTTAGTTCACTGACATCAAGCATTTCAATATTTATATCAGGGGTCTCAAACTCAATTTACCTGGGGGCCACTGGAGGCAGAGGCTGGGTGAGGCTGGGCCGCATCAGACTTTCCACATTAAAAGCTTTGTTAAAAAAAATTCCAATATTCTCAAATCTCTTTATTTTTTAACACAAAATAAGATGGGAAAAAAAAGAAATTAATAATTAATAAGAAAATAAATAAATAAATCAGTAACAACAACAACAACAACAACAACTACTACTACTACTACTACTACTACTACTACTACTACTATTATTATTATTATTATTATTATTATTATTATTATTATTATTATTATTAT